CGACACACATCACACATATCCTAATGGATTCCCATTCTTTTTTTTTTAAGTTTTTGTTTTAATTCCAGTTGGTTAACACACAGTGTTAGATCAGTGCAGAGTCAGCTGACTTTCAAAGCTCCAGGCCCTAAGACCCACTGGTTTTTCAAACTCAGGGTATTCAGCCTTTCTGGTTTACACAGCCAAACAGTATGGGTATTAGCTTCCCCCGTGTGAGCTCCCTGGTTCGAGGGCCCATTTCTCTGCCCTCTCCCCATGCACAACTCCCTCCTTCCTGTGGGCACCCTCCCTCTACGTTTCTGACCTTCCTAACCTTTCAGATGCAGCTTCCTTCCTATATTTAGTTGTGGGGTTTCTTCTTCCAGTCCTTGGGGTGCTCTCTGGTTTATTTAATTTTTCTGGATGATATCTAGTTTTAAATGTGGGACGGGGTGAGCTCAGGCTCCTCCTACTCTGCCATCTTCCCAAGCTCCTCTGGATTCGCGGGCTTAAAATGACTTTTTAAATAACATGATATGTATGACACCAATGTGCATGAATAACTTTGAAATACCACTGTAAGTCATGTGGACAAAAAGGACCTTTTGAATCAGCAGCAATCAGCAGGATAGAAATTAAGTGACTTCGTGAAACAGGATTTTATTTTTCTAAATGGTCCACAGTCCTTTCTCTGAAAAGGCATATGGCTCTGAAAAGAGATTTTGGCTTCCAAACTTCAGTTCCCCATGTAAATGTCCATTTCGAAGGACCACCCACAGGGATTTACTGGCACTTAATTTTATGGTAGCTTTCCTTGGGTATTTATGCAGCAAGTCCCCCATCCCTTTCCATATCCCTTTGGCTTCATCTCTCATCTAATGGGCTCAAGAAAAGGTTGGATTGCTGTAGTTTACCGAGCTTTTGTCTCACTGTTTGGCTCAGAGTGACACCATTCACCGGCTTCTACAATCAAATCAAATGTCATTTAGAATTTATTTTAAGAGTTCACAGGGAACACAGGGGAATCATAACGAAATAGTGGGTTTTCATGCAACCTGTAACAAATTTCAAAGGATGAAGCCCCGCAACCCAGCCCTACAGTGTGTTCTCCGTTCACAGATATATAGGAAGCTGGAAATCAATTAAATGGAAAGCACTTGGATAATCACCAACCACTTTGAAATTCAGCATGTACCTGTAGGAAAACTAAACAAAGAAAGGAAAAATGCCCATGTGCCAAAGAGAAAAACACATTGAGTGTTAGAGTGCATTACCATTACCCTATGTCTTCCCATCAAATCACTTGAGGTAGAGGAAGGAGTCACCTTAGTTCCCTTAAATGCCAAGCAGCCTCCTCTTATTTTGACGCAAAATTACGGGGACAGGTCCCACTGGGACATCTGCATGTTGACACTTCAACCACCCTGGTTCAAAGGAAGCGCTTCAGCAGAAATCCACAGGCAGACATGTCGACGATCACACCACCTTGCCCTTCAATCTCCAGGCACAGGAAGGCTATTATTGGTTCAGCCCTGGTGAACCCACCACCCTTTGGGCCAATGGCCGTAGATCCTGCGTTGCCAGTTGCTTATTGGCTGCTGCCAGCGGAGGCTGGAAGCACAGCTGCTCTCATTGGATGACCCTATCATCCAGGCATAATTGCAGGGCACGAAGCCATTTGTGTCAAAAGTAAAGATGGCATGCTACCAAGGCACAGATTCAGATAAATTTTTAATGAAGTAAAGTTGGCCTTTTTTTTAAATTTTATTTATTTCTGTTAAGTTAATCACCTAAAGTAGGCCTTTCACAAGGTCGGGAGCTTGACTAGGGCACAGTGCTAGATAGGTTAAGTTTTCTGCACAGTGTATGGGTCCCCTTTTATGTATTTAACTGAATTAGGATGAGGGGGTACGTTGAGGGAATGTGAATGTGGTAAGGGTGCGTTTTGTATCTGCTACACCCTTCACTTGTTGCTGTATCAACACACTCGGAAATTCTCTATAGGATGCTATTCGAAACAAGTGGGAGAAGGAGAATACAAAAGGCAAGTAAAATTATTGTATACCAAGCTGTGACCGTAAAGAGTCACGGAGACGCTGACCTGAAGGACTGGGCCACTTAGGAATGTGATGAAATGTGACATGGTCAGGGAAATCGTAACTGACTGCACCACACACATGTATTAAAGTGGACTTCTCAAGGTAAAGGTGTTTTAAGAGCAGCCAGAATGGCACAGGTTCAAACGCTAGAGTAGGCGGGTCTCTGGAGAGTTACAGGTCTCTTGTGCCAAGTGAGGTGGCTCTGAAAAGTGCCTTTGGTTTGTGAGGTCGTCAGGCGGTCTGGAGGCAGCTCATTTGCGTCCATAGAACCTGATGACTGCCTTCACGGCCTCGGACACGGCATGCTTGCCAAACTCCCCAGGCAGCAACAGGGGCACAGCTGTCTGGATCTCCATGGTGGTGATGGTGGAGCGCTTGGTGAAGCGGGCAAGGCGAGAGGCTTCCTCGGCAATGCGCCCGAAGATATCCTTGACGAACGAATCCATGACGCTCACGGCCTCCTGCGAGAGGCTGTGGCCCTCGTGAACATGCCTCAGAACCCTGGCGAAGTAGGTGGCGAAACTGTCGAGGCAGCGGCGGCCACTGCCACGGCGGCAGCCCCCGCGCCTGGGCTGTGTCTGCTGCGGGCTCATCGGATCCGCTGCTGTGGGCTCCTCGGTGCCGAGGTTTTCCTCAGAAGAGGTCTCTCAGCCAGGTTCAGCCATGTGGGGCTCACCTTCCCGACAGCTCAGAAGGAAGGGCACTGGCGGCAGCTTGAGCAGCAAGGGCCCATTTATAGTCGCTGCATTTCCTGACGTCACCGGCAAGTC